TAACTACAACAGATAATATATCCAGAGCCGTCTTAACCGCGTGTGCAGAGCGTGCGTTGTACACGGGCGGCAGGATATAAAGGGTGGCAAGTGATTGAGAAGTTTGTGAATAGATAAAAAATAATGTTCTTATAAAAAACACTCAATTCTTTGACTGTTTTAAGTATAAAAATGAAATCTTTCAAATCTCAAATAAAAAGATATCAAGATTTTGCTATACCAAAAAAGCTGAATCCCCATTAAATTAAAAATCAATATTATGTTTGTCTTTCTTATTTTTTAAATAATAAACTATATATATATAACTTTTTTCATTATTCTTTATTTTTGTAATATTTAAATAGAGATTTATTTAAATAAATATTTCCCATAGCAAAAACATTGGTAATTATGGTGATCTGGATGTCATAGCGATGTGCGAATTCCAGTGAGAAATGATGGTCGAATCGACGGGTCGATTCGTTGTTGGGTTGTCGAATCGATTCAAATTTGTCGAATCGATCGAAAAATCGATGACGATTCGACTAATCCTTTTTCACTGGGATGTCCGCTTTGTCATAAGTGTGATGTCACAATGATATCATTGGGCACTAGATAAATTAATATACCACTAAATTCTCTCGAATTATTCATTTCAGATAAATAAGCTCAAAGCTACAGTGATCACCGCAAAAAACTTACAAAAAATGCTCTTGCTGATATCTTTTTGTTTTTTAATATTTGTAATAAAAAAATACTATAGAATCTTCAAAATGTATACATTCAAATAATTAATCATTTATTTTAAAAAATCTTTTAGTTTAAAAAAAAATCCTAAAAATACTTTTTTCGACCTTACAGTAAGTATATAAGCCCTTAAATCTATATGAACTGTTGATTGTGCGTTTTTAATTTAATATTAATATACGTATTAAACATTTCATATCAAATATTTTATATAAAAATTTACAGTTTAATATACACATAAGTGTACGACTATTTGTTGCACGTTTCTCAATAGTTGACAGGAAACTATTAACTAAATAGGTTTCAACTTACGAATAAATATATGATTTGCATTCCGCCTCTTTTATTAGATAAAAATATTCGTTAGTGATGTCATGATCTTTGAGCAAATCAAACATTTCACAATCTTATGATCTCTGTGATTTGCTACATAAATACATTATTCGCCATTGTATATCAAAACTGCATTAACCCATTACAATAAGTCCATTCCATATACATTTACTAATTACTATAATGTATTAATTATATATTTAATATATAATATCATCTGTGTATATTACATGCGTAACATATAACATACAATTTTATGATTTATTTATATACACACATACACATGCAATATATATATATACATATATTTATAATATAAATAGAACAGATTTTTATAATAGGTACATATAAACATAAATATGTAGGCTGTAAATATAATATTTAAATAATAATTCGTTATACATATATATAGATGTATTTGTGTGTGCAAGTGTGTGTGTGTGTGTTTGTGTGCGTGTTCTTAAATATATAATTTTATTAATTAACGTAAAAACATTAAAAATAGAGCAATATATAATTCAAAATAAATAGACAATACATTGAGGTGCATTTATTATTTGACAAGCATATTTATATATTTATATTATTTATATATTTATTATTTATATTGTTATATTGTTATATTATATCTAACAGTAAAATTTATTGTAATATATATGGCTATTTTCTTGTGACTACACAGATAATAATATATAGTCTTCAATCAAGTTCACAAAAATATGAAAAACTTGAGGCACGCAGTCATAAAGTTCAGTAAATACAGAAGCATCGAATAGTAACGCATCTATATAAACAATAATTAAAACAGTAAAAGAAATAGTGGATACAATATAAAAAATTATTTGTATGAAGTACATCCACTCATGCAAAGCTGCAATTTTTTAATTCCAATGTTTAAAACGGATATTTTCATAATATCGTATCTGTCTGTTGATTTGATCGTTGCGAATTTTTATCTTGCTTTGAATTTTGTCAAATTTCATTATAAAATCCTAATATATATAAACAAATATTTGTATCATCAAATCAATGTATTTTATATATTAATTAAGAAATATAAAATTAATATTCTGAGATTAATAAGAGATAGAACAATATTTCTTTTTCTTTCGCTTTCCATAATAATATTTATTAAATTTACCTCCTTTATTTGACGTCTTTTCAGTATATCTTCTGTGATATTCATTTTTTGAACTAAGTATGCTTTGACCTTCATATTTTCAACGTATTCCTTTATTTCCTAAAATGTATTATTTTTTTAACATTATTAATAAATAAATTTTCTGTAACATTATCAAAATTATTCTAAACATTAAATAATAATTATAAATACGCATTATTATCACATTTTGTATAAATATATAAACATGTAAAATTTTTACCTTAATTAGATTTTCGGAATATATGTTATTAATAATAATAATTAATGCTGCAGTTGTATTAACATGTCTAAAAACGAAAAAACAAGTGTATACAGGGTAGTTGGCAACTCGCGCCTCACCTGTCAGGTGCAGGTAGAGCAGATCCAACTGAGTAAAAACGTCCTTTACCATTTTGCGATTTTCTCAATCATAAAGGAGAAATTAATTAATAAAGTTTGGCCAATCCACGCGAGTGGTAGCGCGCGGCGAGAAGAGACAGTCCACTGAAAGGTCCAGCTTTATGCATGTTACTACCTTTGTCGATTATTATCCATTGCGTTTGTGTAGAGCACGCAAATAAGCCGATTTTTATAAATTAATTTCCCATTAATTATAATTAATAATTGAGAATTATGCAAATTGGTAGAGGACTTTTTATTCAGTTTGACCTGCTCTACCTGCAGCTGACGGGCGCAAGTTACCGCGGACACCCTGTATATAAAACAAATAATAAATTTTTGTACAAAATATTTGTAAAAATATGTCACATTACTTTGGTTTTAGTTCCTGAAGATAATTTAATATGTGCTGCAGTATAATTAGATTATTTGCATGCTTCGTTATAATATGTAAAAAACCGTTAGAAAGATATTCCCGTTGTGTAAAAGTGGGCGGACTTAAATAATCCATTATGATATCAGTATTTTCAGTGCAAGCCAAGAATTCTACATATTTAGTGTTATTCAATCCTAGATCATATACTAATTTCCAAATCTTTTTTTTGGCTATCATCAAACCTTTACAATATGTCCATTCCTTCCACCATGGCAAAAGTCTGAAATAAAAAAAAAATTAATTTTTTATTAAAAATTAGCATATGGATCTCTTGATCAAATTACTTGAACATTATAGACAATACCTACAAGAGAATTTGATTACGAAAGGCTAAAAATATATAACAATATTTACTTGTGTTCTGTAGGATCTAGGAGATGTTGTCTTAATTTATTGTAGGCTTCTTTCTTACAAGTGTTGTCACCAAAAAGACATGCCCATTTTGCAGCTTCTTGTCGTAAACATGATCTTAGCTCGTCTCTGTCATCTATTTCTTCATACTTTATTCTTTGAAGTACCTCAAATCTGACAGGCCATGCTCTATACTAAAAATCGTTAAATAAATATTTTTTTTGTGCATATTATAAATAGATTTAGAAAAGATTTTTTATTATTTTCCAACATATTCTTAGAACTTTTCTATTTTTTAAACAAGGGGACAGACAAATTCACTTATAAATGCAAACGTTTATCTACTATATACATGTACATATACGTTCAAATAAAAATACATGTATGTACAAATATATTTTAATTTGTGCGAAATGTTTATAATATTCAAAAGATAATAAAGTTTTATAACTATTTATCATATTTTCTTTAGGTATTTTCTAAGATAAAAATATATCTTTTTTAAATATATAATTAAATTTCTTCAACTGCATGAATATTTCACTTATTTAAAAATTGCTAACATGTAATTTTCAAATAAATAAAACGTTCATGCAGTTAAAGAAATTTAATTATCTATTTAAAAATTACTAATTGACAAAGATTTGAAGCCAGTAGCTATATATCCAACAATGTTATATACCAATAATATTGGCAGTAGTAAAATTTATACACTTTGGGGATCGTTCTTCGCGTGAGATGAGTGATTATAGTTGTTATGAGTTAATGTTGTATGAGATGATGTTTTATGAAATGATATTGAGTGATTATAGTGAGTTAAGTGATTATACACACTTAATTTGTTTGCACGTTTATTGGCCACGTAATAGGATGTAAAATTTTATCGTTGTTGGATATATTTTTCTGAGTGTTTAAATTTCTTGTAATGAATAAAAGTATATGCAAATATCTAAAAATGTAACACTTTTATTGAAATCTATTGATATTTACTTTAAAGCTCTAACTTACTTCTTCTAGTATGGCTACAGGAAAGTACTAAACATGTATTCCAGAGCTTTAAACATAGGATACCATGCTATATAATCTTCTTCTTGTTGTAAATACGGTATGATATTCCAGAATATAGAGGAATGGAGATGACCTGCTATCATAAAATAAAATGCATCATCGATAATTTGGGCACGATTAAGAACAGGAATTTTCGTGTAATTATCAGATTTTAGATAATTTGAAATTCTTTGCCAATTCTCATCATCATAGTTAACGCGATAATATCCTGTCAAATAATAAATAAATTTTATCAATTTTTATTGTTTCGAAAAATTTTATTAGAATATATTTTCTAATATTTTAGTTTCATACTTTCGTTTATATAAATTATAAATTAAGAACGTGCCAAAAATTTAATATATATAAATAAAATAAAAATATATATAAAAAATGTATTATAAAAATGTCATCTTAATACTTGAAATAGTAGAAAAAATGAATCTGTGCAATATATTGTTGTATATCATAAAATAAAATTGATTTTAGTTGTGGATAAATAATAATACTGCTCGACAAAAAATAACTTTTTTCAGGTTCAGAAAAAGTTTCCGAAGCGTATTCTTGTAGATTTTTTCATGCTGATTACAAATCCGGCCGCGAAAATTGCGTTTTACTTCAGGATTTTGAGATATCTTGATGTAAATATGCGAAAAAGGGCATTTTAGACACTCTTCTGTAAAACAGCTTTTAATTGGGACGTGATGAAAAGTGCTCCGTCGGCTCAAAATAAAGCTTAAGACTTGTAATTTATGTTAAAAAGAAAAAAAGTTGAATCTATAAAGAGTTTATTGCAAAAACTGAATTAAGAAATTTAAAATATCATTTTTCGCAGTTTTTCTTATATTAATACAAAGTCTTTAGACGTTTGGTAGAATGATTCACTTTAACTTTTTATAGATTTGACCTTTTATATATTTTTTTCATAAACTACAAGTTTTAAACTTGATTTTGAATCATTGTAATACTTTTGATCACGTCCCAATTAAAAGCTATATTTTACAGAAAAGTGTCTTAAATGCTCTTTCTCGCATATTTAGATCAAGATATTTAACAAACCTGACGTGATACGCAATTTTCATGGCCGGATTCGTAATCAACATAAAAAAATCTTAAAAATACGCTGTAAAAATCTCAACAAAAACTTTTTGTGTTTCGAACAGTGTAATTATTTTATACTAACCAATCTAATTTCTGTAACATGTAACGTTACGAAAATTGTTTGTTACTTGCACGTATTATTAATTTCATAAATATAATTACCTTATTTTAATAATTTTTATTATAATTAGAATAAAACATTTGTAAAAATATAACATTAACATTTAATGATATTATTTAGAAAACGCCTACGTATATCTTAAATATAATTATTATATATGTAATAATGCATATGGCACAAAACGTTTTAAAACTATTATAGTTATATAATAAATATTTCAGATTTTTATATGATAATGAATAAAATAGATAAATATATAAAATAATGTCAATTATGTGTGTGTAAAATAAAGTCGAGAAATAACTTATAATAAGTCCATTGTTCAATATTTACCAGTTTGTTGTATATTGAATATTATCCAACCATCCTCCTTAAATGGTAATGTTAATACAAAATTTCTCGTTATTAGCGAAATATAAGAGAAATTGTTAAAATTGCGGTACGTCTGCGTAGTAAAAGTTATAGGTAAGCAATAAGTTTTTAATATATCGAAATTTGGCACTGAAATAACTATTTTAGCCGTAGGATTATCATAATATCGTATTATTTTTACGAGAGGACAATGCTCTTCCGAAGCCCAATATTCCATTGTTTGTAGAGCCATTTCTGATTTTCTTGATTCAGGAACAACTGCTTTCATAAAATTCTCAAAACTTCGATGATATAATTGGCTAAATTCACAAAGTATGTAAAATATATAAAAAAACATTATAAATATGTTAAAATTGTATGCATAATGTTAATGTTATAAAAATGTTAATAAATATGACGAAGCAAAATACAAAACTGCACTTATATTTATACATTTATATATCTTATATTTATATTATGATAATAAAAATTATAACAATTTTAATAAAATTTAATAATTTTATTAAATTTTTAGACATTATTAGCATTAATATAGATTATATTTGAGCAAAGTATTGTGAGAGTTATAAAATGATTAAAAGAAGAAATAAAACAAATACATAAATAAAACAAAACTAAAACAGACTACAAAAAACATTAGAAAATAATGTAAGAAGAAGCCAAAAGTAAGGAACATTTTAAAAACTTCTATTATAAAACATTATTTATATTACACAATTTTATTTTTTGAAATTTTATTTTATATTAAATTACTCACGTGCTATTTACATATAAGCGAATGCCATTCCAAAATATTTTTTTGGTGAAGACGTTTTGCATCATGCGCAGTATAAAGGGTGCTACGATTTACATTAAAATTATAAATTAGATATATTATAAATATACATTTATTAAAATGGTTACTTGTAAACAACTGATTTTTTAAAGGAAAATTATATTGTATTGTATACAGTGTAGTAATCACGTAAGGGCAAAATATTGTTTATTTTTATACCTTTTATTATTGTATATTATAAGTAAATTTTCCGTTAATACTTACAAAGATAGGAAATTTTTTAAAGACTATTCAATTAATTACTTCTGCTAACATATGTGTTGTATTACTGAGCACTTTGTGTGTGTGCGTGTGTGTGTGCTATTTTATCCTTACAACTTATTATATTACCTCTGATAGATTGGCGAATTTCTAATAAACTGTCATTTTGTGAAGTTAAAGGCCACATATGATAATCACCATCCAAATTAAAAGAGTAATGTTGATTTTGAACAACAAATAATTTTATTATTCGATAAACTGGATATATCTATAAAAAATGATTAATATATCAATATAATTTCGTTCTTAAGATACATGCATTAAATACTAATATTAATATTATTAACGTTACTTCATTGTTAAAATGACCAATTTCTTTTTAGAAAACACATATCAAAAAATTTTATTAATGCAATCTAAAATTGTTTAATTAAAATATTATATTTTTCGTATTATATTGCAAACATTTTTTATCAAATTTATTTAATAAATATATTGTACTAGTTTTTGATTAATTTATTTTATTTTAGATTTCATAAAAATTTAAAATATTAATAAAAATTTAAAAATTTTTAATAAATAAATTATTATATGTAAGTAAATATGTAGTTTTATAAATTTTCACAAAGAATTGTATATTTAAAAATTTTTATTTAATAAAGTATTTATTTTATTTAATTGGTGTGTTTATTAAAAATGAAATAAACCAAAATTATGTAAGTAAATTATGTGAAAAATGTATTTTTAAAAATATTGTTGATTATTTTTATATAATGCTAAATGTTTTAAAAACAATTACAAAGAATGGTATGGATTTTGTAAAAAGAGTTTGATTAAGAAAATATTGCAATATGATTGCATAAGTATTGATTTTGCGAGAAGGGAGCGTGATAGCGAGATATATCAAGAGACACGGTAGTGTCTCGCGACCAGTTAAGGGCGTAGCGGAGACACCGACACCGTATCTTAACGCGAGTCGGACATTTGAGTCTTTATAATATTTCGAATCCTCAATAATGGCTGAAGCAATCGAGTTTATACTAGACTTAATCGATAGATTGAGTTCGAATTATATAATAAAAGTGTCTTTATTTCTGCTCTACGTGATTTGTAAGCAGAGATATATAAATGCAAAGTCGAAATATGAAAAATTTCTATTAAGAAACGTCCCCGTCATCATTATCATCATTCATCATCATCATTATCATCATCGACCACGCATACATAGTAGTATCGTGCTACACGTATTCACACGTATACAACACATGCGCACACATATATCACACGTACACAACACATGCAAGATGCATGTAGTGGTAATTTTGTCCATCTCGCACGTTTTACAACAGATGGCGATAGTGGCGCTCCGCCATATCGGCAGCGTGCGGGGTTATGTTGGCTAACTCTCTCTCTCTCTCTCTCTCTCTCTCTCTCTCTCTCTCTCTCTCTCTCTCTCTCTCTCTCTCTCACACACACACTCTCTCATTCTCACTCACTCACTCACTGTTCGTCTTGTGTACTTATTTAGTACATTCATGATTAAACATCTATATGCATTAATGTGAAATTTACTTACAATTAGTTTACTTGAAATATTCAATCTCTAAAGTGTTTATCTTATAAGATAGACAAAAAAATCTGAGTAAATAATAAGAAAAAAAAACAAGGATTATTATTGTCATAATTTTTTATCAATTAAGTACTCTCAACTATCCAATAATTAAATAAATACGTACAAATGTGCGCGCGTGTACACACATACACATATTGATATTAAAGAGATTGAAGGAGAGGAAGGAGAAGATAAAAATTTAAATATTCACATATATTTTCAAATATTATATATGAATTTATAGTTTACATATCTAATTAATAATGAATTTCTAATTATATTAAACATATCAAAATAAAGACATACATGTATTTATCAAATGAATAAAATTATTGAATACAGACTTAAAAAATTTATTAAACATAGACTTAAAAAATTAATTAATTAAACATATTCCAAATTTAGAAAAAATAAACTTTATTTATATATGCAACAGCTTTTTAAACTAAATTTTAAATTCTATTTTATATTAGACAATTATCTCAATCAACATCTACGTCCACATTAGCTGCACTGCAGACTACCTCTACAGCCACATTATCTGCTCCGCGGATATAGCGTTATGCCAATACGATACATTACATGTACTTACTTACTTGCCTTTACTGTACCAACTCTTGTTCTTTCCACGTAATCATGTTTTTACAGTTATCGTTTGCTGTATATCTTCCAGCAAACTTTATTTCGTGTGAAGTGTATTTAATTAATTAAATCTCTGCGAAAGATTGAGAAGATGAAGGGATAATTCAAACTATGAAGACATGGTTACATGGAAAAGACAAGAGTTGATACAATAATAAAGACATACATGTATTTGTATCCTGCTGGCATAAGGTTATAGAAGTTGATTGAGATTGAAAAATAATAATGAAAATAATAAAAAAAATAAAGACACATGTATTTGTATCGTGCTGGCATAAAGTTATAAAAGTTGATTGAGATTGAAAAATAATAATAAAAATAATTAAAAAAAGGAAATATTCAATCATCATTTAAAAGCATATTTGAAATCTGTAGAATAAACAGTTTTTGCAAAAAATGTGGAGCATTTGAGCTCTAGTAAGTCTAAAAATAAATGTAAACATCAATTAATAATAACTGATGTTATATATATATTATATATATAAACCAATTTGTTGCAATATTCACTATAAAAGGTTGTAAGGGTAAGATGGCTAAAAGTGAATAATTTAAAAGATAGTTAACATAATTTTACATAAACTGAAATATTTCATAAAATAAAATATTTGTAATATTTCGAAGTTTATGTAAGATTATGTAAAAATTATACCTTTACAACTTTTTATAGTAAATATTGCGAGGAATCGATTTATATGAGAAAAATTAAGGTAATTCTATTTTGAAAATATAAGTGACCTTTAAATAACCTTGAAAATCGCCGTTTAGGAAAAAGTCTGTGTCAACTTTTTCTTTTTCGAAATCCTGCAACTTTTATCTAAATTTAATAGAAAATGTATAAAAAATGCTCGACATTAGTACACACACACACACACACACACACACACACATATGGGTAAATTTATATAAATAGGGTGCTTTAGGAGGAATGATCAGGATTCTAGGATATGATTGTACACATCATTTTAAGCAAAGAAGTTTAGATAAACATGTTTAATAATTGTTCTATTCCGGTCATAAAAATATACAAAAATGAATGATATAATCTCTAAAAACTCACCTTTAAAAAAAGGTAAAAAAAGGCGACCAGTTAAGGGCACGCCATTAACAAAAATTATCCATTGCAAACCCATGTAGAATCCTATCCTATTGCAAACCCATGTAGAATCCTATGAAAAATTAATCATTGCAAACCCATGTAGAATCCTAGGCAAAATTAACCATTGCAAACCCATGTAGAATCGTACCCATTGCAAACCTATGTAGAATCCTATGAAAAATTAACCATTGCAAACTCATGTAGAATCCTATGAAAAATTAACCATTGCAAACCCATGTAGAATTGTATTAAAAATTATCCATTGCAAACTTATGTAGAATCCTACATTGCAAACCCATGTACAATAGAATTGTATGAAAAATTATCGATTATAAACCCATGTACAATCGTAACAAAAGTAATGAAATAAAAAAAAATTGCGCCAAGTGAAAGTAGAAACTTGTACCAGTGGAAAATTAAAGTTGCAGACATATATAGAGTCGTATAATGAATCAGTAAAAATTTAAATTTGCAAATGTAGAATCGTACCATAAAAAAACTTATCTTTTAAAAAAAAGATAAACAAGATGCCAAGTCCATGCGCCATGTGAAAAAGAAATAAAAAAATTTTAGTTAAAAAAACTGGGAGCGCTGCTAAATAATATTCTAACAATATTAAAATTAAATTGTTACTTTTAAACTCATTACAGTTAAAATATGTTTTGTGTTTAAATTAATTAATGTTACTTTAAGGTGCATTGTAATTTTGAAACTTAGCAGCGCGCCCAGTTTTTTTAACTAAAATTTTTTTATTTCTTTTTCACATGGCGCATGGACTTGGCATCTTGTTTATCTTTTTTTTAAAAGATAAGTTTTTTTATGGTACGATTCTACATTTGCAAATTTAAATTTTTACTGATTCATTATACGACTCTATATATGTCTGCAACTTTAATTTTCCACTGGTACAAGTTTCTACTTTCACTTGGCGCAATTTTTTTTTTATTTCATTACTTTTGTTACGATTGTACATGGGTTTATAATCGATAATTTTTCATACAATTCTATTGTACATGGGTTTGCAATGTAGGATTCTACATAAGTTTGCAATGGATAATTTTTAATACAATTCTACATGGGTTTGCAATGGTTAATTTTTCATAGGATTCTACATGAGTTTGCAATGGTTAATTTTTCATAGGATTCTACATAGGTTTGCAATGGGTACGATTCTACATGGGTTTGCAATGGTTAATTTTGCCTAGGATTCTACATGGGTTTGCAATGATTAATTTTTCATAGGATTCTACATGGGTTTGCAATAGGATAGGATTCTACATGGGTTTGCAATGGATAATTTTTGTTAATGGCGTACTGGTCGCCTTTTTTTACCTTTTTTTTTTTTGCGAGCCCTGAACTTTTAACCTTTTTTTACCTTTTTTTAAGTAAGAATATACCACGTTTGAAATTATAACTATATAATTTAGCAATCATAACTTCATTTTATTATATTAATTGCAATATTAGAATATAGCAGAGAATTATATAGAGAACAATTTCAGAAACATATAGAAGCTAGCAAGCGAACAATAGAAAACCCAATGTGCGGCTACCGTTTGAGCTTTTTTTGTCGCCCGGACCGCCCCCGATCTTGATAAGTAACCCCTCGCCTTTCGGGATACTAACATCTGCACGTCATGAACCTCGAGAATCAACAAATCATAGACTTTACGACTTATTCTCTCTTAGATTTTCTCGTCGCCTATCATCTTATATGGTATGGATCATGATAGATCCTCTTGACCATATTTGGTTAAAAAAAAAGCTCACTCATTGTCTTCTCAAAACCCCAAACCACCCCCTTCTTTAATAAGAGAATTTATTATAATATTTTCCTAGAAAAGCGTTTTCGTGGGAATCCTCCCACCCAAAAATTTGCACACAACACCAAGATTTTTCGTTTTCGAGGGGTA